TGGTTTAATTAAACATGGCATCTCCAAGTTCCAAAATATCTTTGAATTTGTAGTTCTAAAGTATAACTGGAAACATTAAGATCTAAATCACTGAATGCAAGCCTCTATAGAAAGATCGCAGTAGGGTATAGTATAGTTCACATGACAATATCGGCTGTATATGATATTAATTCCTAGCATGTTTATGCAGATGTTTTATTTAGCAAACATCTGTATGTTTTTGTTTTTTTTTTGTCTGATGTAATAATTTGATCTTATATGTTTTGTTTTTATCAGCTGTACTATTCCCAAGCTAGAGATTTTTTTTTTTCTTTTTATGTGAGAATAAAGTTGCAACATTCTGAGAATGAAGTCACAATATTATGAGAACAAAGTTGTAATATTACAAGAATAAAATCATAACATTATGAGGATAAAGTGATTGATTTATGGGAATAAAGTCATAAAGTTAAACTTAAATAAAGTTGTAAATTTAACAGAATGAGGGCATTATACCCCAACCCGTTTCAGAAAGAAAGTTGGAGCTCCGACCAGCATATGATGGCCGACCAGCTCAACAAATCACCAACCTGACATATGGCCCAATTTGATGCTTTTGTGCTAAAAGATTTCCTTAATTTTTAAACCGATGCCAAAAAATAACTTCACATGATGCTCAACTTTCCTCATTAGAAGTGCTTCTTGTAAGAGTTGTCACAAAATACAACTTTATTCTCGTAATATTAGGACTTCATTCTGGCAATGCTACGACTTCCTTCCATCGATCCATTTTCCGTCACGCCTATCCCTAGCAGAGTTGTGAGAGGTTTTTGTCACTACCCAATCTGTCCCGGAAGCACGACCTGCATGCATTCACAGATATACATCCAGGTGTCCAAAAATAACGTAATTTTGGTAATAAAATTACTTATTTGTATCCTTAACTCTCTAAGTAATGCTAATACACATATTTAAAAAAATGTTTTAGAACTTTTGAGAGACAAATTTGATGCTTTTTACATTTTCTTGGTTAAACCGCTTCTTTGATGTCATCATCAGACATGCTCACAGCAGTCCGGCAAAATATGATATAACCATGTTTATCTGCAATTTATTTGTGTCTTTCTTTAGATTCACTATATACCATAATGCTAACACAGAAAGAAAACCTAAAAATCCAAAAGACTACATTTATTTTTAAATCCAAAGCCGAAAATTTAGCTCCCGGAAGTAGCGTAGGATCCCATTTCCAGTGCTTATCAGGCAGAGATGACTGATAAAACAGAAATGATTTTAAATTATTATTTAAATTATTTATACGCCTACTATTTTTGGGGAGGAAAGGTCATTTAGGTCTTTTTAAGAAAATAAAATCGATGGCCAACCCGGATGTAAATCTGCATGCGCAAATGAGCTGTTGGCCCAGGATGGATGGTGCTTCTGGGAGGGATCGGGTAGTGACAGTGCTGTTGCCTATTTCCAGCTATCTATGGGCAAGAGGCAGGGTACATCCAGGACAGGTTGCCAGCACATCACAAGGAAACATTTTACAACTTTATTCTCCTTATTTTATTACTTTCTCGTTGCAACTATTCCCGTAATGTAATATTTATGTTTAAATCCAAACCTGAAAAATTTTAATCCGTTATGACAGACTTATCATAATATTGCAACTTTATTCTCGAATTAAACAGAAACAAAAAAAAAGCACACCTCTAGCCTGGCCCTAATACTCCATTGTACACTCACTGTATGTTGATGGTGTAAAAGTAAGTTTTTTTTTTTATTATTTGAAAAGTGCGAATTGTTCTGCTTCCATGCCAGTGTCTGTAGTTTCTAGTGCTTTTAGTCATATGTACGTTAAATACAATACAAATAGATCACTACTCAAGTAAGAATTGTAGGCAAGACAAAAATTCATTTTAAATTTTATTGGTTTGTGACTCCTGCAAACTATTGGTTTCACAAGAGGGTGCCACTAATGAAGCCAGAAAGCTGAAAGTTACCAACTTGTTTGGAAAAGTGACATCACAAGCTTACAAACTGAAGAATATAATTTACGGTTGTAACACTTTAAAGGTTGCCACTTCACAATTCTGCTAGGACAATTTTTATAGAAACACCAGAAAAAAAACTTTACTTAGATAGCTCTAAGTTCCTACAGCACACCTTAAAGCATAAGAGAGTCTCCCTCAGTTAAGATGTAGTTAAAAAAGCACCTCTAGTTTACCGGACAGAGGCCAGTTGAAGTCCAATCACATAAAAAAAAAACTCTTACTGAATGTCATTACAATATAGCCACACAACCAGGAGAGTGCTCTAAGATGAGAGATAGTTAACATAAAAAATAAAACTATTGGTAATATCCTTTATGGAATCTGCAAACACAGTTGCAAAGAAAAACTATTTGCATGAGGAAAAGAGATGTGTAAGTCTTATTTAACACAAATTTTAGAATTCACTAACTACTTAAAGCCTGCAAGAAGCTGTGAAGGTTTGTCTCATTCATTTAAAAGAAACAAGTTAAAGACAGTCGAAGAAAATAGTGTAATATTGAAAGAACCTTGGGTCTAAGGGAGTATGGCCTCTCCTCTAAAACTGTCCACAACCCCTTTTACACTAGACACTTCATAGCCTTGTAAGAAAAATGAGCACTCATAAATCAATATTAGAGTCATAATTAGAAGGGATATGATAGTAAATAATTTTTCGACCACAACATTCATCACTACATAATTTCGTCAGCCTTTGAAAAGGATTTGCCTTCATTAAAGCCAATTGATGAGCTGCTTTGAAGCAATTCACAAACTCACACACACTTCCCACTGCATCTTTTTTTTTTTTAAAAAGACACAGAAAAGGAGAAAAGGTAATTAATCCTAACTTGTTTTGAAAAGAGTGAATGCATGCATTATCATCATTTCACCATTATTGGTCAAATAAAGCCCTGTATAGATAAGGTTTGGTAAAAGTACCTTGATCCGGAATAATATTGTTAATGAATCCTCTTTGAAGCAATATCCCCTGAGCAGACCAAAATGCCTGTAAAGGAAAAGCAAAAACCATTATTACACTTATGAAAACCAAATGTGGTGTAAACATTCAATTTGAAACAAAAGTAGTAATATGTCTCTAACCTGACTTGATTCTTTGTCCTTTGGGTGAATAATGACTCGAACAAGGAAGCCTGATCTGCTGATCTGGTTTTGTCCATATAAACCAACTTCCTCCAGAAGAATTAAGGAAGTAATTTTGGGTGGAAAACGCAATAAAACACCAGTTCCAAGCACTGGAAGAGTGACTGAACTGTAGCCTCTGATATTACATATAGCAAAAATCCTTTTGATCCCCTGTCTAAGTGCCTGTCAGAAGCAAAGGAGGTTTTCAGTTAAGAAGAAGTTGAAGTAAAGTCTAAATTTGGGTGAAGAAAAAGTTTTAAATATATTTTACCTGGACTGCTGATCCATTTTGGTTATCATCCCAGCAGAGTAAGTTGAGGAAAATGACTGCTTTACATTTAAGACCAGGTAACCCTTCAACCACAACTGTTTCACTTGGAAGAGTTGCTTCTCCTGCTTCCTGGTAAAACTTAACTTCCAACTGACCACCAGTGACATTGTTTAAAATTTTTCCAATGCGAGTAGAGGCAGGATCATGGCCAACCATCAGTGATACAATGGCATCCACCTAGAGACAAAAAAGAAATATTAAAGAAATAAATTTTTGTTTGCTAAATTTGGAAAAGAATAAATTATATCATATTTAAACTAACACATCTGAAAGATTTTGAAATAATTATACGGTTGTTTGTTTATAAAGCTTTGACATGCAGAGTTTTTCACCTGCTCATTCTCAATGGTTCCTAAACCAATCTCTACTCGAACACCAGCTCCAGCAGGTGGCTCACTCTTTGCTTCTTGGCCAGAAACATCCATCTGAAATACAAAATCCTCATGATTACTTTACAGGGACTCCTGTGATATGCTAATTACTTGCCAGCGGCCAAAATCATTTTTACCTGCGAGTTTGGTCTGGCCTCAATCAATGCCCCAGGCCCTAGAACTGGTGGGCCAGAATGTCTGGATGCAAAGCTAGCCAGGTTTTGAGGGCATGACGACAAACCTGCACGATGCTGGAAAAAGCATAACAAGGAAGATGACAACAACTATTCAACAGTTCTCGTCTGACTCAGCTTTGGAATCAGTTTTGGTAGGATTAGACTTGGGGTTTTTGTTGAAACATGAGCAGGAAGAGGTTCTAAACTCAATAATTTTTAAGAAGGACGTAATCGCCGTTTTATTGACAGGCTGTTTGTTTACACTCTGCAGCCAGCTTTCTGTCGTGCAGCCAGTTGCGCTCATTAGTCAGAGCATTGGCCAATAGGCACAGACAGTGGCAATCTTCCGATGTCTCAATCATCGGGGCCAGACTAAATTTCACATTTAATCTCACATTTAGTTTGGTTTATCAGGCTACCTCAGCCTGGCATCCGAGTGGAAAGAATTTCCCACAGAATGCAACTAGGAACATTTTTAACTACATGAACAGCCTTGTG